AACAGATAGGACACGAGTCGAGAGAAGTGGGAGAAAGAAAAGCGGAGATTGTTGGTTTTTTATGGGGAGCAATGTCGATCACGGCACTTTCTGTCGCGGGTGTGTGGTTAGATGGTTATCGAATTTCGTTTCCACCGCGATTAACACGATTTAATTATACGATGGTAGAAAATTATTCCGTATTATTCCATATAACCGACAATTACTCGCGCGTCCGCGTGTCGTTTTTCCCCGGCTCGAATTTACGCATCAATCAATTCTTTTCTTTTTTTTTTCTTTTTTTTTTTTTCTCATGTCAGGCGCAATTTAAACTAGAGATCGCGGGTTTGAAGTTTTATTAAAATACAAGCGACATTTAAAACTTGTATCAAAGGATTTAAGGATCCGTGTTCTTAATGCACGTGTAGATATCTTTAATTATAGTTTTTAATGTCCGTGAATATTTGATCATTCACATTTTACAAAATGTACGAATGTACCTGAACTACACTCCTACATTCACATAAATATTCTAATCCATGATAGAAATGATATTCAACGTCGATCACTATGAATAAAATATCCTTCTAACAACAAGTGATCAAATATTTATGGACGATAGTGTAAATACATCTCTTTAGTTCCGGGAATTCCCAATAATTTTTGAACTCTCGTTTAAAAGTCCAAGGAATTTTTTTTATTTTTAATATTCAACGATTATCGTAGTTAATAAAATTTTCAAGTTGCATGCGTTCAAGCTGTATCTTATAATGCAATTGTTAATGCATGTACAATGCATTTTTGTATCATTCAACATTCTCAGTTTTATTTATTATACTATTTATACTATACCATATATATATACTATACCATATTATACTATATATACCATATATACCATATTATACTATACCATATTTATATACTATACCATATATATACTATTTATATATTTATATTATTTAAACTATAATCTCACAACTAGTATCATACACTATTATAATATGATACTAATACTGTGTAAAGCATATAATACAATATACGTGGATACGTGTATTAAAAATCACACGGATTGAGATTCGGATTCTCTTACTGCGCGTGAAACGGGGTCCTCTAGTTTAAACGGAGGCGTAGGTTTAATAAATTAGAGTTTCCTCGTTCGGGAAACGTTCCGCGGTTATGACAAGAGGTTGAAGAGGATCCGTGCCCTGCCGGCCGGTTTTTAATGCCGGAAGCGTCCCTCTTTCTCCTTCAGGCCCCTCTGTTTCTCTCTCTGTCTCTCTCTCTCTCTTCCTCTCGACTTGCTCTCAACTTCCTCCCGGTTTGTACCAGCATTTCTTTCGCTGGCAACATCTGTCGTCCGTCTTTTCTCTCATAACTCTGTCTCTTTCCCTCCGCTTTCTCTTTTCCCTTTTTCCCTACCTTCCTCTCCCTTTTATTCACCGCCTTTTTCTCTCTCCCCCCCCTTTTTTTTTGTTCTCTTCTATTTCCCTCTTTCACCTTCTCTTTCTCTCTCTCTCTTTCTCCCTGTGCGTCTTTCTTCGATAGCGCATCTGTTCCGCTCGGACGAACCTATTGCCAAATCGAGGCTATTTGCGAATTCTGACGAGTTCGATGCTCGCTCGTATATTTCTCTCCTCCCGATGTTCATTCAGTATTTCCTTCGGGAGAAACACCGACACTACCAAAGTCGTAGTCAATTTTTGATCAATTCTCACACATTTATAAAGTGAGTTTTCGCAAAGTATACACACTCACGCTCGCGAAAGTCTTAGAGCACTTCTTATTTCGAATATTCAGTATTTATCGCGGATAATAGGATTTTTAAATTACACGTGTATTTTATGACACAGTTGTTAATATGCTAACATTTTAGAGATTATTATAGTAAGTATCATTCGCTATTCTTATTTACATAAACAAATATAAACGCAAGTTTATTCCTTGCAAGTTTCATACATTAATCGTTGACAGTTCTCGCCTTAATGTTCGTCAAATTCCAACGTGTTTTTCTTCGAACGGTGATTCCAGTTTCCAACCTCTCGCAAACAGGAAATATTCGTTTTTCATTGATCGACTTTTGTTTAACATTATCCGCCGTATTTAAAACAAACGGCCTCAAGAATACCACCACTGGTTTCAAGGAACCATTCGTAACACGACGATTATTATTGTTAAAGATTTCGCGGAAAGCGTAACACATTTCCTCGGACCTATTCGAATTTCAACGCGTACGTTTTTTTTTTCTCTTTTTTTTTTTTTGTTTTTTACGTACTACGTATTTTTAGACCCTCCGGTCTCTTTTGCTCTTCTTCGTTCTTATTTTAACGCGCAGAACACACACGGATATTCGACACGTCGTTAATTGCATTCCTGACCAGCGATGGCTCTCTTGATTCTCTCTTACCACCTCCCACGCTATACCTTTTTTTTTTTTCTCCTTCCCTCCCTCCATTCATTCGTTCACTACTCGATCCTTTTACCTTATTCCACCGGATGGTATCACAATTCACCGTTCATCAATGAAACATGACTAGCTCTCGGTGTTTCGGTGAGTAGGCTCATTTATCGAGCGGCAGTGCCTTCTAATTGGCCCACGTTTTTCTTTCTTTTTTCCTCCCGTTCATCGCCGTCGGTTCATTCATTACGTAAAGGTCACGGGTTTCACAAAGTTTGCCGCTGCTGCCAACTTTAAAGGGCCATTCATAACGATTTTCTTTTGCTCCTTCGATGTCCCCGTTGAGAATCACATTTTTTTTTGTTCATTCTTAATTTCCATTATTATTGCCATTGTCATTTAACGCCGAACGACGAACCTCTGACACGACTAAAGTCCGTGCCAGAGGAATGGAAAGTGCAGGAAGTAGAAAACAAGAGTTTGTTAAACGTAGAATGAAGAGTAAGAGGTTGTTCGTGTATTTTACAAAGTGTCACACGAATCTCTGAAAATGCATTGTTTCAAGTGCAAAATTTTATCGCACTTGGTGGCGATATTTGAGAGTTTATATTGTAAAATGATCTTTTCAGCAATCAAGTGCGTAATTTCTAAAATTATATCTAATTATGAAATTATATCTTTATATGAGAAGATACAGTAGTTCATGAAAGTATTTAAACGCTCGGTAGAAACAAAACATTTTAGGTACGCATCATGAATTTCATTACATTAACAGATTGAAGCAACTCTGCAAACATATATAAAAATAAGAAGATATTTAATATATATCAGAGATCACAAATTCACATCAATATTTAATGGGGTTATTTTTAACAATTACAATCACAACTATCCATGTTTTGTGTGTTGATCTTTTACTAAATGTAATTTGCAATAAATGCCACGTAATCTGGTTGATTTTTAATTATCAATTGTCGATATCGGTGTTTAATTATCTTGTTTCATTCGTATTGTTAATGAAAGCAACAAAAATGAAATTTTGAGATATCCTCTGCGACATAATTACAAATATTTTTGTGATTTCAAATCAAATTATATTATATATTTATATTAATCTTGTTCACATGATGATAAATTAAAATGACGCATGCTCGTCGAAATATTTGATAATAGTGGTTTTTGTCAAAGAGAACTTTCGTTGCAACGTATTACGGCGGTTCACTCAAAAAGAGTAGCCATATCTCGTCCTAATATCGGAATGCGGCGACTCACCGGAAGTCTTAAAAAAGCTGTCTTATCTTCAAAAAATTCTCGGCAACCCATCATTTCCTACTCATCCTGTTTTCCCCGCCTCGCTCCTCCTCGTTTCTGCCTGTTTTCGATGAATGATTATCAGCCCGTTGCTCGTCCAACCTCGAAAATTAACTCATAAATGTAGATACTAGCATTATCCACTGGCAATTAGTCGGACATTATCGTCGGAAAGTTCTGGTATCTTAATGGCAGGGAATCCTTAAGTATGACGTCCGTCACGTTCACCGACACTTTTGTTGTTTCAAATCTAGCTGCACTTTCGTATCTATCGGAACCTTTTATCAAAGTGAAGTTTGTACTGTTGAATAGAAGATTACTGATTTTTAAGCTTTCGTATTTATTGGAACTTTTTTTATTTGTGAATCTAACTTTTTACTGTTGTACAGTAGAGACATGGAAATTGCAAATTTTACTCACGAAAGACGTAACATTGCTTAGAATAGAACAGTGCATTGGTTCTTAAATTTTTGTACATCTTCTTGCATAATAATTTATTGATTGATGACATGAACGAATTGAGAAATTACAGTAGACTTCTTTCATCCAGAATCAATGTTAATAATTTTTGTGTCGGATAGAACTATCAATTGACTTGTAATTAAATATTAAAATTCACTTGTACAACTTTATTTACTTTATTACCGAACTTGCTGCTATTGTTCACCAGAATTTAATTAGCACATTACTGACACAACTTGTAACTTGTCGTCAATAAGTAACATTAATTCATTATATTGCTCTAAAACAGTAAAACACAAATTTCTTCGTTCGTTACAACTTTCTTTTATCCTTCGACCAATATTTTTTACGTTCTCCACTATTTTTTGTTGTACGACGTACATCCTGAGAAATTCCCTCGATCGGAGGGATAATTAGACCTCGTATCCGCGAGATAGCTTGTTTGTAGGTGCATCGGTGCATTTATTTCTACGCTGTCGTCGTGTCTCGTCGCATCGGCGAAGCCGAATCCGGACAGCATGCGTCACTAGTTATTTTTGCGGTCAAACAGACACACGCTTACTCACGCAGCATTCCGCTGTATTTATGTTACGGTGACAGTGGTTTATGCTTTGCCTTAATATTTTGTTTTTCTTCCAAGTACGGAACTCCTGGTGGTGTGTGCGCGACCGAATCGAGATTGCTCTCCGTTTCAGCACCGGAGGAGCACTCGACACCGAGTACACTACGTACTCGTACAATTATCATCCTCGTTTCAATCTTAATTCGCAAAAGAAGAGCATAATTGGAAATAAGCATAAAAATCTCGTAACAAACCACTTGATGTTATTTTAAAACGTAAAAGTCTCTGCCTCGTTCTCAATTCATGTTTCTCGAAGTACGGATACTTTTATTCTCACAAATTGCAAACATTTTTTCAGGCTTTGTTTCTGAAAACATTGAAAAATTTCTTCCACCATAATCTCGAAGGTTGAAACTCCCTCTTCACAACGACCCTTTCAGAAATTGCTGTCGTTCAATCGTAATATTCAAAGGTCAGTGAAAGAATCGTACAGCAAGTTTCGAGGGGTCGTTGAAAAGGAGAGACTTCGATCTTCAAGACCACGGTGGACCTAATCGCGAGAAACATTTTTCAATGCTTTCGGAGACCTTCGAATCACAGTGTAAAATAACAACAGTCATTTACAATTTATAAAATATCGACAATTCTGCGTCGATCATTGATTCAGCTATGTTCTTACGCTATATTATAAACGTATTGATTGATCATTTGTTTTTCATTGCAGTACGCTGGAATTCGTATCGGTCCTGTAGTTAAGAAGGATGTCATGAAGGCTTCTATCATGTTGGAACACGACAGTCAGTGAGTAGCTCGTAGCTTATTTCGATGAATTATTTTTTTTTTTTTTTATCGAATTCTAGCTGATGTTAGTGTTAATACGTTTGTAGGTACGCCACGATCCTCGCGTTTGACGTGAAGATCGAGAGAGACGCTCAGGAATTGGCCGACTCGCTGGGGGTTAAAATTTTCCAGGCAGACATCATCTACCACCTCTTTGACAAATTCACCGCGTACAGAGAAGAGCTGAAGCAGCGTAAACGAGACGAGAACAAGCATATCGCCGTATTCCCATGCAAGCTTCGTATCTTACCGCAGGTGCATATGAAAAGCTTCTCATTTTTTGCCCGTCTTTGCATCAAATACGTAAAAACTGTAACTCAGAAATAGGTGTCGCCACACTCGAGCTGTAATATAGAATTTTCTTTGCCAAAAAGGACGTCTTCGTTTTTGTTTTCAGTACATCTTCAACTCTCGAGATCCTATCGTAATGGGCGTGATGGTGGAAGCCGGGATCGTGAAGGAAGGTACACCGCTTTGCGTGCCCAGCAAAGACGTGAGTATTTCACTTCTGTTCTCCTATTTGCCTGTCTGGTTACGCCTTTCTTCGACTCGAAACGCGTTGCACGTTATCAGCAGACTGCGGGTTTTCATGATGACATACAAAAAAATATCCGAAAAGTGAAATGTAACGAAATGGGTAACTCATGTTCGGGATTCGTTTGAAGATTTTGTTACAACGTTTGTTTGCTGCGTGTACACGTGTTTGAGAATAGCCGCTTGGCATTACTTAATACAGAAGAATGAGAAAGTAAGAATATATAAATTTAACTTTTAAACATATAAGTTTAAATGTTGAATATAATAATAATATATAATATATGATATAATATAAAATCATATAATATATCATATAATAATATGTTATTATGTTATTACATACTATGAAATTAAAATTTGCCGAATTTATTATATTTAAATTTTACACGGACGTGAATTTATAAAATGTTATTATAGAATAATATTTTATCATTCATATTTATGTCATTGTAGAATAACATATAAAGTTATTGTGGAAAGTAGAAACGTCTAAATGAAATAAATTTTTCCTGCAACACCTTCGCAGAAGTTTTGAAACGCATAAAAACCCGCAGTTTGTCAAAAATTGCTCTGCAACCATTGGTAACGTAGGAGTATACTCTTTTGTCAAGGAAAGTTCTGTCGTGCGACTGTAATTGCACGGTGAAAGAAAAAGAAAGAACCTCTGGTCGAAGATTTAATCGAAACTCTCGTCACGGTAGCCGCGCGTCTTTTTTCCCCTCGTTGGCTGTGAATACGATTATCAAGCGAATTTCAGTCGGATCCTTAAGGGGCTCTCTGCGGGCTCGAGCGCGAGAGCTCTCTTTGCCAACGCGCGTAGGTGAACTCGTTCGAGGGAAATACGCCGGTCCAGTTGTTCGATCGATCGTTTCGATCAAACGCATAAACGAACCTCGCCGGCTTCCTCCGGTTTCTCTCTTTTTTTCCCTGGGTTAGGTGCAACTCGTGTCAATCGATATCCTTCAGCTTTGTGATTTTTTCCTCGCGTAAAATTTCGATTGTTGATGCACTGACGGTGCTCTTCATTATCTTTTACGATCTAGGTGTATAGAGAAATCAAGAGCAAATATTTTCGGCGCGAGATGTAATAGGAAAATTTTCTACGTTAATGTTTTATGTATTGCCCGAAGATTAACGAAACAGTCAGGGAAGTAGAAAATATTGCAACAAGTGCAAGATTGTTGCATATCTTATTCACATAAATGCATAAGAATTCGCGGTCTATATTTATAAAAGAGTATTTTCAAAGGTTTAAATAGTATTCTTTACCTTTGTTATAAACCTTTTCTATTATATTTATATGATTTCCTAATACAAGTTTCACACTTTAGTCGTCCAACGTACGACGCGATAATGATGAAAAGCTGAGAACTAGAAACTAGAAACTCGTATCTTGATGACAGACCTTAAAGGTTGATTCTTTGAAGCACATCGACTACAACGATTTCTATGAAATCACAGGAACTTTCGTGGTAATTTGAAAAATACGCGTCGCGAATAATAACAACTGCCACCTTTTATAAAATTTCTAAACATTTCTGTCTGCGTACAAATTACTTATTTATTTTGTCTCACTGTTGTCACTTTGACGAACGAGTACAATAGACTCTCTCTTAACCAGCCAGTCTGAACGACGAGTTAATCCGACAGTATCATTTATTGGTACATAAATGTAGATTTGACAAATAACGTTTGACAAACACGTATTGAGAATACGTCGCATTGCGAAGCTAGTTCTCGATACTCAACTGTGACGATAAATCTGACATACAACGATTATCGACTGCTTTACATCCAAGTTCATTATTACTCTGGAAAACTCTCGATCTGTTCCTTTGGCAAACATTGGACGATTAAAGAGAAAGTCCACTGTAACAACGACATAATTTATACGAATGAAATGATCCCGAAGAGGAAGAAAAAAATTCATGGAAATCGAGCCCGGGGTCCCATGGACGATCGAGTTCCTTCTCTCTCTCTCTCTCTCTCTCTCTCTTTGCTTCTCGTAGGAGTAAATTGGTGGGTAGCTGTTCTTTGCAGTCTCGCCATACGCGGTAGCACGCGAACATTACAGGTTGCCTAGCCTCGGATTCGTAGGCGTCGCGATGCCATTAGCAGCCTGCAAATTCCCGTAAACAAAAATTCCAAGTATATTCTCGCGAGGCACACCCACGCGGCTGGCCGAAATGATTTACTAGGCAAACGGTGTGCTCGCCTCCGAATAGTCGCGTTCCTTTTGCGCAACATCGTTTCGAATTTTCCTGCGTGGGAAACTGCTTGATTTATCTGGACATGTGTATCCCTGCTGCTCGTTTAACGAACATTCAATTATTGGCCTGACAACATTCAATTATTTCGTCAAACACGAACGTCGATTTTTACTTGGATAATTTGCTCCCTTTTTTCTTCTTCTTCTTCTTTCGCACAGTTTTCATTCTCATCGTTTGGGACCGTTCAATCATCTTTTGGTTTCTCCTTTCTCACACGAGCAAGCCGAACGGTGTTTCGTATAAGCTTCGTTTGGAATTAAAATTCACTAAGTTAAGATATTAGAAACGAGAAAATGATTTGAACGATCATATCTCAGACGCAGAGGAGATGTTGTATAAAAATTGGTAAAATAAATAGCAGAATAACTTCCAGAAATAATAAGTGTTAATTGAACTTTAGACTTGACGAGATTTAAGCGATATTTTGAAATTGACACATCCACGTGACCACGTTTTGAAAATTTTATTTCGCAGCTTTATTCGTTGCTTCGTTAAGTGTTTATTTTACTTGAACCACATCCATATGACCACGTTTTGAAAATTTTATATCGTAGTTTTATTTGTTGCTTCGTTCAGTGTTTATTTTACAGCAGTACGAAAATATTATGACAATTATATTCCTAGTTTGCAATTAATTAGTCTTTTTTTTCTCTCTCTCTCTCGCAAGTAACAATGCTATAATACTCTGACGAATAATTTCCTCTGGTTACTGCTATGAAATAGCAAACAGTATCTGCTATCGAACTAGCGATAACGAATTTCATTTTAACTCTCCGGGCATTTCCTCTCTCTGTATTATCAGCGTTCGTTCAGTGAAAATTAATACGTGCTCGATACAACCACGAGAGAGATTGATTCGAGGAAGCAGAACACGGATAGAGAAATCTCTATGTTTCTTTATACACCGCGGGTGAATGGTGAATAACGCCTGTCATTTGACACAAGTAAACTTACGATACTGCACGATCGTTTAACAACGAGCGTGGCTCGACGACAAGCGTTGAAAATTGTTCGATCTCACCTTCGCCGTTTTCCAATATTTCTCCCGGCCGCGACGAACAATCGACGGCGAGATATCCCCGCGTTTAATAAACGATCGTGTTCGCGAAGGAAAAGAAAACACGAGGAGGGAGGTGAAAGAAACGCGCGTATAAGAGGTGACAGGCGACGAAGCCTGGCCTGGTTGGTCGGCCGCTCGGCGCTTTTCGGTTCGGCGGTTACGTTTCAGATGCAAATGCGGGCATAAATTATTCGATTCAATAATATCGAAGCGTATGTGGGTGATAGCGACGCGTAAAATTCGCGGCGAACACGTCGCGCACACATTGTATAACCCATGTGCAACGAGTACATATTTCTCGCCCGCGCGTAGAAAGCAGTCTCCGACCACGTTGCTGGCCCACGCGTCCTCGACTCCAAATACGCTTCTTTCGGCCCTACCCTGATTTTTTTTTTTTTTTTTTTTTTGTTTGTTTTTCATTGCCCTGACTTTTCGCCTTTCTTTCAGTTTTGACTGAAATTCCATTGCTAGAGACATTGCGTATCAATGATAGAACCTGTCGGAAGTTGGATCGATCAACTTCAATTTTTTTCCTTCGATCTCTTCCTTCCATCACGCAATCGCGATAATAATCGATTCTCGTTCGAGGAAACGAATGATTCCATAAGATGACAAATGCACGGATAACGTCATAAGCGTATGATTAACCTCTTGCGCGCTGGCATGACGTGCGTTTTTTTGTCATATGAAATTGTAATATTTTCTCAGTTTTAAGTGAAACAACAAACGGGCGAAACAAATAATAAATTTATTACTTCTCAATAATTTCTATCCGGTGACATCGTGTGATATCGACGAGTTCAAAAGGAAAGCGGCGAATTATTGTATACGGTTCGGTCGCTCGTTATGGTCCGCAATCAGTTGCCAGCGCAAGTGGTTAATGCTCAGTTCTCATGAAACGAATGAGATCCGCATCTATTGGATCATTCGTCGCGAGGAAATCGCGCGACTGATTGTGAATTCTAAGGTTGTTCGTACTGTCGTCAGTTTTCTTCTGTACTTTCTAATTTATGGAGCTAATCAATGTGATCTCTGAATGAATCATTTAACGCGAACCAATTAACTGCTCTTTCGCCTTTGTACCTTTTCAAAGTAGTAATTAATTTCGAATTTCTTGGACAACAAGTAACTTAATTTTATATATTTATTTATCGCAAGAAGATCGTTACTTCTCTGTTCTTTTCAATTTATCGATATTATTATAACAGTATTATTCGTTCTTCTTGATTAACATAATTAAAGAAATATTAATGTTTCTATCATTGGAAAAAATATTATATATATATATATATATATATATATATATATATATATATATATGTAATATAAATTATTATATATTATATTTTATATATATTATATAAATTATTGTATACTATATTTTATATATATTATATAAATTATCATATATCATATTTTATATATATATTATAAATTATTATATATCATATTTTATATATATTATATATACATACATATATTGTTATTTTACATAGTTCATCGACATATGTAACGGAAACACGCTCCGTCGAATTATATTTGCGCAAATTAAGCCCCCCTTATCGTACAAGATGAATCGACCTATTTGTTTCGTTTCCTAACAGATAAAAAAAAGAAAAAAAATAC